TCTTTCCCCATTTTCTGTCTTTTTATCTTCTTTTATTTTACACTTCTTAATATCTGTTGCCTAATTATTGTCTTACCTGTAATGCTTATTAATTGCAATTAGCAAATCAGACAATTTTACCTCCAAGTAGAGTATTAGTTATTGCTAAGAAAGCTCTCACTACATTGCTGTATGTTATTCCTCTGAGGCTTGGATGACTCCATCGTGGTAGCCACTCCTTGCTGACTGGGCGAGGTTAAGCTCTGGAGACAGATTCACCTCCCTGTAACCCACTGAGCGGGACGAGGTACCACTGTATGGAGATCTCAGCTTTGCTTAAGGGATTTTTTTCAAATTCTGCGTACTGACATCTTCCAGAAACCTTTTGTGCTTTTCTCAGCTGCAATCTCTATTTTCTCTCTTTCAAGAAAACCACTGCACCACATCTTGTGTCGGGAGATGTTGTGGGAGATGTTCCTGCCTATAGCAGGGAGATTGGAACTAAAAGGTCTTAAGGGCCCCTTCCAACTCAAACCACTCTGTAATTCTATGATTTACTGTTTATCTTCATATATATATAAGCATTGACAATGTTGAAGTGAATTTTGAGTGAGTAAAATACATTGCTTGATAAGGTACATTGATTGTTAGATGGCATTTTTCAGTGGGGAAAATTAAAATTGGGAAAACAATGCCTTAGATTCCTATCTTAAAAAAAAAAAAAAAAAAAAAAAAAAAGAAAGAAAGAAAGAAATTAAAAAAAAAAAAAAAGAAAAAGAAAAAAAAGAGCATGGCAGGCACACAGGGATATACTTGAGGAATACCCACCAGTCTGAACCATCCTTGGATTAGACTTGCCTTGGAGACAAGGCTTTAATTCATAGTAGATATTAGCAGACTTTTCTTTCTGAATTTACATAATTACTTCTCAAGCTTGTATGAACTTTGACATTCATGACCTGCTGCAGTAGTTCTGTTTAATGGCCTTTTATGGGAAAACTACAACAGCTATTGTTTTGCTTGTGTCCTGTATTAACCTTTGTTATCTACCACTTAACTTCGTTTAAAATGTTACTCCTGCATGTTTGTAAGAACTCACTGCCACATTCATAGTTTAATATTATTGACAGACTTTCTCATTTCACCAAGAACCCTCCATGCTTTTATGAGTATGTTGAACAACATTGATCTAAGCATTGATCCCTCTTTGTGCTCTCAAATCTGAACACTATTCCTCATCTTTTCTTGCAAAAGCAACTGTTAGTCCATAATAGTTGCCAAGTTCTATGGTGTTCTGGGCAGACTGATCTAGTGGATGGCAATGCTGCCCATGGCAGGGGGTTGGAATTAGATGGGCTTAATTCAATTCCTACCTGAGACATTCTGCAATTCTATGATTTGGCAATAATAGGACTGTTGCTTTTCCTTAGTTTTTTTCAGGATTTTTGTTATTTCTTTCTGCATGCTTACTGATTCCTTCAAATAATTCCAACAGATCCATGCAGTGATACTCCTCCTCTTGACTCTTCATTGTATTGTTCATGCTCACATCTGTTGATTTTACTTTACTGATGTATCCATCAATTCATGCATGGTGACCTGTCATCTGGAAATATCTTTCAATATGCTTTTCAAACTTTAATTAACAGGGTGGACAGCGATCTGGAGGGCAGATTTTCATATATATCCCTCTTATGCTACTCTCAGAGTTAGAGGCACTGCCCTGATGTCCTACCCTGGCTATTCCTTCTTCCACACTTAAGCTTGTCTTGGATCAGAAGGATGCTTCTAAAGACAGTGTTTAAATTCACCACCAAGATCCACTTTTGTCATTCATCTCCCTATAAATACAGTAAACGCCCTCCAGTTCTTTGGCACACCTCTTTGCCTATGCCAGTGCTCACAGGTTGTTCTTCTTGCCACCCTGTTACTTCTACCCCTCTGCTTGCTGTCTACTTGTCTGTCCTGAGATGGGTAAACATTAAAGGCCATATTTTCCACACCTATTTTGGAGGGAGGTATGTCCCTAGGAAGACAACAGCAAAGGCACATTACCCAGCTTTCACAGAGGTTATCAGTGGTCATGCAAAAGAAAACATCAAAATACCTGGATTCAAAGGAAAGATCAAATTATCTGCTGTTGTTTTTTCTTTTCACTCAAGACTCACACAAATTGCAAACGCTATCTTAGAAAATACACGTGGAAAGGCAGAGACCTTTTCCTAATCTTCTAATTGTGGCTGTGTGTAGGATGTAGAGGAAAAATTATTAGCCTCATTCACAAAGTCTGATGTCTCTTTCGTTATCTAGGCATGTCTTTCACAGCAAAATTTTGCAGATGATTTCTGCACAGCACCCAGTAGGAAACTTCCTTCGTTTCCCTTCTCTGTGAATCAATAATTCCCCTTCCTCTCTCTATTTCTTTGTTATTAAATATATAAATACATAATATATAAAATGTACATACATAATGTATATATAATGCGTATATAATGTATATATAAAATGTATATAAAATGTATATTATGTATATATCATACATACATATATAGAGAGAGGCAGTCTGACAAAATGGCATGCAGGCTCTTGTTCATCACTGGTGAAAACACATAACTTATGCTGGAAAAGAGTATTTTGTAGCTGTGAATTTGTTCTATCAAATAGTGTTGTTATGCTGTTTGTATCTGTTGCAGTTTCCATTAAAATAAATAGCAGGCATTACTTTCAGAGCAACCTGCATATTTACTTCTCCAAAGGCATGCTATCAAGTTGTATCAGGTATCCTTATAATATATATACATATTTGGATAGAAAAAGGCCAGCAGGAACTTTACATACACTCTTCCTTTCTGAATTACTGTCTGTATTTCTGAGGATTCTGTTCTTCAAAGATTTCTTCTTTCCTTCATTTCCATGCCATAGAAGTTCAGAGATTAGCATGGGCAGTTACTGAGAGAAAGAACACGCACCATCTGAGCCTAGAATAAGCCTAACAAGTCCTGAATGTTGTGTAGCAATTTCTGCATATACTCTGAAATGTATGGACTTACTGGCCTTAACTTGAACCTAAGGATAACAGCATTGGTGTGCATGTATCAAGTAATATAAAGACTAATGCGTTTTAAGAATCTTTGACAATTATCCTCTCTCACCAAGGAGGAACTAAATTACAGGGATTAAGTTAAAAATTGTTACCCATAATTGTTGCCTATACTTTTCTTTTTTCTGGAATGGCTGCCCAGGGAGGTGGTGGAGTCGCCGTCCCTGGCAGTGTTCAAGAGGCATCTGGATGACGTGCTGCATGATATGGTTGAGTGCTTGTGGTGGCAATGGTGATGAGGAGACGGTTGGACTGGATGATCTTATTGGTCATTTCCAGCCTTGTGATTCTATGAAAAGCATTAAACAGTACTAAAAAGTTGTTTTACTTGTAGAGGAAGTTATTTCCAAGCCCACTGTACATAACTGAACTGACAACTTTCCTATGATATTTACATATTTTCTCTCAGGATTTATGAAACACTATCACCTAGAAGATACTCCATCCCCATGCTATTACAGTAACTCTTAATGCCTTATGCATTTCTAAATCAGATTTTTCAAAACACAGTAAAAAAAGCATTTGGTACTGCAAGTCTGTAGCTGCACCCTGCTCTCCAACAGCAAGCTGTTTGCTCAAGTGTCCTCTGATTATCTACACTGCACGTACCACACACACTCAGGATGCAGCGATTTACTGGTAGCAGACAGCTGTATTTCTGCCAGTTAGAATTTCTTGTGCACGAGTTCTAGCCTAGGAAAAAAAGTGTTAAAAATGAAAACCAATAGAGTACCCTATCCTCATCCAAATCTGCCTACCATTTTAGTATCCTGTGCCAGGGAGATGCAAATGTTCCAAACGATTAAAAACAACTGACAAAAAGTATATGCTGTACTACTCAGCCTATTTTAACTACTTTGGCTCAGCCAAACTCTGCAGGCAAACAGGGCCACCAGCAAGGATGAGATGTGTTACTAAGCATTAGTGTGATTAAAGCATGAAAATGTTCTTAATGTGTACAATATGATGTTTTCTTTGTATCTCTTTGTGAGCATATTAGAAAGAAATGTAATGAAATAAACAGTGTTATGCCTTATAATTAAACCAGTGAGCACAAGTTAGTCTTTATTTCTGTTTCCAAGCCAACTGTAGAGATTTTTCTTTATGGGAAGACTAACACCATCTTAAATTCTGGCACCTCATGCTGTGTTTAAAAAAAAAAAAAAAAAAAAAAAGTCAGCCTCAGATGCTCAGATTCACCTGCATAACTCTAGACTCCCACTGAGGTAGTTTTCCAGGAGACAAAAATAATAATAATAATAACCCACTGTTTTTTCTCCTGGTCAACACAGGACACAGAAAAGGTTCCTAACTTACAAATTTGGATGCCTAAATTAGAAAGTATTAATCTGGGTCAGATGCAGAATATGCATTTAGAAAAGAATCACCTGGACATCACTTTCCCTTCATGATTTCCACCTAGAAGTTTTTGAGAGCTTACAGGAGGCAATTTGGTGCTCAAGTAAATGAGGCTAGATTTCTCAAGTGTTTCTTGTGAAAGGTTAATGTACATGGACAAAGAAAAGAGGAAATTAAGTCTAATTTCACTTTACCCATGTGATGGGGATAAATACACTCTCAACATTATGCACTCTGTTAAGTTTATTTGAATTTTTTCTAAGCACAATAATGCTACTTCATACAACTCATAACTCATCTATTACAAATACAATAAACATACGGAAGACATCCCATTTTCTGTATAAATCTTTCTGCTCAAGCCAAAAAAAAATAAGAGTCAGTGAAGCATTGTATAAAATCAGAATGTAAAATAAGGCGAGCGTGATAAAAGCATTAGGCTCAGTACTTTCTCTAGAAAAATAGATTTTGCTGTTAAACTTTAGAGGAAACTCTTTAACATACTGCAAAAGAGAAAAATTAACCATGGCTAAGAGAAACTACTTCCTTCAAGGCACTGTAGAACTTTTGTTGTAGAACTTTTAACGTCAACTTGAAAATAATTCAGCAAGTCAAATGATGTAAATATTATTCTAATAATGAAAAAGAGTCCAATATTTAAATGAAAGCATGAATAGATAAAGAAATCAGACAAAAGATCATCGTGGGAAAAAAAATCGTTTTGGCTACGATGGAACAAATAATACAAGTTTGAAACCTTATAAGATTCAACAACAAGACAGGCTCTACCACTCATAAACAATACATTTAGGCAGTTGAAATACAGCGTTAATAAAACATTGTAAGACTTGAACTCTGGATTATCTTTTTATCCCATAAACAGTTCAATGTATTTCATATATGAATGTTTTGGCTAAGAAAATAAAACTGCAAAGCTGTTTGAAACTACTGGAAAGAAGTTACCAAGGATGTAACTTGAAGTTCTTCTAATTGTAATTGTTCATCAGTCAGTACTCTCACACTTGGGTTTGGGACTTCTTTGGTTCTTATTAGGTGTCTTTGGCAGACATAGGAGGAACAGACCTATTTACCAACAGAAACAGAAGCACCAATTCCCTTGGAGGAACAGCAAGTAGTGCACACTGGAGGCAAGTCAAGATCAAATGTATCAATATCTAATGTATCAGAAGCCAACTGGACTAAAAATTACTGCAGTCCTGAGAGGAGGAATTCATAATGCATCTAAAACACATGCTTACTTCAAGGTTCTCTGGTTCCTGCCCGCTTTCACTGCAGCCCTTTATTACTAACAAGGAAAAAAAAAGTCACTGTTCATGCAACTCACTTACGGGTGGCCAAGACTTTATGCAACAATTTTGAGATCAAGTGGGAATGCTCAACAAAGGCAGAAGTTGTACACGAAAAACAACAGACTGAGTGATATGTTTCAAACAACCAATATAGTATTTTGACGTGCAAAAATATACTTGTTATAGCGACAAAAATGCTGTTATAAGAAAGTCATATAAAAAACCTACAAATGTATTTGGTTTTTTGTTTTTAATAATGCATGTGAACTCTAACGCAAAATACAATGAACGCAGTATCTCAGCAAGGGAACTCTTTAGTGTTCATCCCCTACGTTCTGCCATCTCATAGCTATATTCCTTCCACTGTTTTTTATTTGGGCTGTAATTTAGAATTGCGAAACCACCAAATTGTACACAACAAACAAACAAGCCAAAAAAAAGCACAAATCAGATTGTATTTTGAAAATAACAAAAAGCCTAGCATTGGCTTTTTGGTATGTGGACAATTACAGGAACAGTGAAACAGCTTTAATTCCTTTCCTCTTGTTTCCTTTTCACTTTCCCATTTACCTTCTTCTGTTTTCAATCAGAAGTGACCACGTGAGGAAATCCACTTCAATTTTTTTTTTTTTCCATTCACTTCGTTTTTCCTTACATTATTTATAGGGAAAAAGCCTTCAAAAGTCTACTTTCCCCTGCTCAAAAAATAAATGTTTTTCTAATTTTTCCTTTGGATTAGCAAGCAAAGGCCACTATTGCAATTAACCAGTTTTCCATTTTCAGCTGCTGAATATATCTAAAATTACCACTCTTCTGTAACAGTACTGTCAGTTAAGCAGCACCATAACTATGTGCAACAGCTGGTGGTACTTACTGTGCTTTACCTATTACCTTGGAAACTTTAGCTGCTCAAGTCCTTCAGTGAATTGTGATGAGAGTTCATCAAGGAACAATGCCATATGTGAGAGGAAGTGGGAATACTAGTTACACAATGCATGTTAAAAACCATGTAGGTAGATGACTGAAAATATCTCCATATTAGTTGTAGTCACAGAACGATTCTGCAACTCCCAAATATCCTGAGGTAATCTGTACATGAAATAATTTCAATTATGTTTAATATGACACTGTATCCCTTTTCCTTCTTTCACTTGTTCTGAAGTAATACCAAAGTACCTAATCTGCACAGCATTCAGCTTGTTGTCCGTTTAGAATGTTCAGCCTATTTGGAAATACAATACAGTATCAAAGCCATACAGAAGGACATCTCATGGAAATTAATCTATGAAGTACCCTGAACATATTTTACTTCTTGCTAATTAAAGGAAGCTAAGCAAAAAGTTAGAATTTAGATATTTTACTGCTCACCACAAGTGCAAAACCACTGACATTCTACTTAAATCATGATAAAGATTTCCCTTTGAACATTTCTTTGGTAAAAATGGCTGTATGTCACATTTGCTTTATCTGCCAGTACAAGGCATTTTCTTTGGTGGAAATCATTTTTGATCTCACAAGCCCATTTTTAACAAGTATTAAAAATTCTAGTTTTGATAATACTCCCTTTCTGTATCACCCATTAGTTCAGTAAATGTAAGGTTAATTTTGTCCTAAACACAGTCAACATAACAATATGAAATCTAACCAGAAAAACCTGCCTTTCAGCATAAAATGACAGTCTTACAGACAGCGAGAATCAAAATGCAGTGTATCAGGATATATTATTGGTAAAAAACGAGCCATTTCACAGTTATTTTAAAAGCATCTTATTTCTTACAACTGTGGAAGAGCTTATGCAGAAACATAGTTGATGTTCAAAAAGCACAGTTGCACACTTCTTTAACTCTGTGACGATTTCCACTTCTGTAGGCTTGGCTTCCCTAATCAAAGAAGGAAAAAATATATCTTTATTAAATCAATTTATTATTTTGCTGCATATTATTTTTCCGCATTTGTCTGAAATTGAGCTTTGTTCCAGCAGCCTATATTTTACTTTATATTTTATAAAATTTACTTTGTATTTCATAAAATATTTGAATGGTCCAGTTTGAGTAGCCTAAGCACATACTGAAACTCAACTTGGGAACATGAATCCTCACTGACTTGGTGAGAGTCATGTGCCACAATGACTCAATGAAAACAGGTGCTTAGACCTAAAACAGGCCATGTCTTTGGGAGCCCAGCACAGCAATCAACAAGCACAATAACACGCAAGAAACGGCAGATCCCATATTCTTGAAAAGTATTTGTTCTAGACTGTTTTCCAAGTCATTCTTCAATTCATACAAGCTTTACTACACACTGTTCTCTTTCTGGTCTTTAAAACAAACAGTACTGAAATGCTTTTTCTCTTCTCATGTCATCTATCTGAAGGAGAACAACAGTACCAGCAGTGACAAATGCAAAGTGACTCACACCTCTCATCTTTATGATGGAGCACAGCGCCAGATGCAGAAGGAAGCATCTGGGGAAGGAGCTACACTGTGCAGGACTGGTCCTCATTAAAGACCATCCTCTGACAAGCATTTCCAGCTGGCCTAAGTAGGGGCTTGTAATGAGACTGCAAAGAGGAGAGAACATAAAGTTCATTACAGAGCTTTCACAGGGATATATATCATCTGCTTCATTCCTCCACAAATTCCTATAGTAATCACCTATGAAACCTTGTCTTTCCTAGACTCCTATAATTTCTTGTTTCACATCTCTGGTACTACCAATGTTCCCCATTTTGGATTCTAAACATGCCACTGCACTTGCACCCTTCCTCATTTAACCTAATTCAGTATCTAAAATTACAGCCAGAAAGAATTCAGAGTCATCACAGCACTTCTGCATCTCAGCACCTACCCCGATATTCACAGAGATGTTTCAACATGAGGAACCAAATAATTAAGGTTTATCTAGCTTCTATTTTAAAGCCTGCTTAGGTGAACAGAAGGATGATGATGACAGCATTCAATTAGACAGCTCTGAACTCACTATCTTGCTCCAATCAAGTCATTAATGACAACATATTACCTTCATCTAAACATATTATTTTTTATGTGGTGAAAACGTAGTAATTGGATAAGAGCAGATATATCTATTTTTTAATTTATCCTTGTTATGGTAGTAGGCTACTCAAGGAAAAAGTAAGCTTTAATATCTACATTTCATCCTTTACTTACCTTTCTAGGAGCCAGACTAAACTCTTCTGTGCCTTGCACTACTGCCTTCCACACCATTGCTTTCCTCTGATTTACTGCAAGAAAGAGAGGATAAATTCCCAAAGTCAATTTTGAAATGCAGGATGTGCACCATCATGCCTCCAGAATGAATCAAAGATGTACTTGCGTTTCTCACTTTGGCATGTAAGGTTGTACGAAAAAGATTAAATATCACCGAGGTAACCAAAGTGGAAGTAGGATCAACTGAATCCTCCTCAGAAACAACCTACAAAGTTCTGCACAGAAGTGATAACAATGATAATGTACCCAGAAGTGATTGCTATGCTATCATTTCATTCAGTTGTTATAATGTGCATATAAAGCAAATGTCCGAATAAACAATATATGAACAATTTGCAGGTGAACATCCTCAAAACGTGGACTGAAACACTCCTCTCATTGCTTCTTTTGGAGTACCTGCAAAAACTTTACTGTGTTCATCATAATCCAAACTTTACCTAGAACTGAATTAGCTTTTTTTTTTTTTTTTTTAGCAAAGGAATTATCTGAATACTACTACTTGATACATTGCATGTATCATTTTAACTATAACTTCATCAACCAAATTCAGCTATATATTATACATACTTGGCATAACAGACTAGAACTGTTCCCTTAGAGCCGTTTGCTCTGGTACACAAATTTATCTTCTAAACAGTTGAAACAGACAGCATTAGAATAATTTCTAATTGGTTTGGAAATATATAAGTAAGGAGTCTATTAAACTGTTTCTTGCCTATGTTTATCTAACAACACACAGAATTAAAGCCCATGCATTTGATCAAAATTACAACATCAGAAACATCCCCCACTTCATCAACCATGAACATTTAATACTACAATATACAGTACTAAGTTACAATCCTATTATAAATATGCTGAAACTGTATTATAAGAATCATGGCTGTGTAAAGGCATTTATTCAATTTCAACCCAAGACACGTACCCAAACAGTCAGCAGTAAAACAGCATACAGTATTTCCAAGACAAATCCTCACTTCATGGTATAATTGAATTACAATCTTAAAGCTGTTTTGATAAGGGAAAAAGCACTAAGATGTATTTTCAGCTAGCATGAAAATAACAAACAGGAGGGTGAACACAGCATGCAGAAACCAAGAAGGTCACTTCAGCAAGAAGTTTGAGAAAGGCAGTAAGTGCTCAGAAAGACACGAAGGAAATCAAAACAGGAATATATATGTAAAGGGAAAAGGAACTGCTAAGCTGCAAAACAGGAAAATTAAAAGGCCAAGTAACTGGGCTTCAAGAGATGGAGGCAAGGAGTCAGTTTATGTCAACAAGCCTTTAAAAAGTGCATCTTCCTAAGGAAGGTTGAACCAGCATGGCTGTATCAACCCTCTAACAGAAGGATGGCAGCAAGAGTGCCTGCAGCTCCCCTTCTATCTCAGTGCCCAGGAAGCCCTAACTCTTAGCACAGCAAGGGGCTGCTCCTGAAGTGAGAATTACCAACACAGCCAACAGCAGCAGCTCCCAGCCTCCAGCCTTACAGTACAACTTGGACAGTTAGGGCTTTGACCATGCATGAATTAGAGACGGTTGTATTAATGCTGATGGAATAAAAATGTAAACAAAAAATTTCCAAAGCCTTCTCTGGAAAGTTTCCACTTGAGTGTTTCTCCTGCCAGAACGAGGACATGTGTTGTCTTAACAAAAGACAAGTGAAAATAAGTTCCGAACACCAAAATTAAGTGCCAGTCAGAAAACAGCATTCTGCTCTCTAGGATTATGTAGTCTTGGAGAAGGGGAATGAAGTGTACTTTCAGATTAATTAACTCTTACCAAATAGGATACAAAGACACATAATATACATAAGAAGTAGCATTTAAGTTTGGTATATAACTTTTTTACTTACAGTTGCTCAATTTGGTCAAATTCTTTTTCATCTTCTGCGTAACAAAAAAAAAAAAAAAAAAGATTACATAAGTCTTAATTAACTACACACATTAGAAAAGTTACTCATTTTTCATTATACCATGAATTCGATGCATTAATGAAAACAAATGCTATTTTATTAGCTCATTTTTCTTAAGTCTGTAATCATTCTGTTACTCTATCAACAGAATTACTACAAAGTTGTCAAGAAATGTTCCTTTATCAAACACGATGAATGTGATTTTAATGCACATCGTATCATATACTACATACATACAAGCATATAGATAAAACACAGTATGCAAATGCATAACATACATTTACATAATACACATGTTGGCAAGATGAAGCAAGTTGGCTCATCCACATGTATTTGGTTCACCAGTCAGGATTACCACATTGATTTAGTCTCTACATTTTTCCCCTTCTGCTCTGTTTCTTGGTGGAAGTTTCTCCCATCAGAACCACTAACAGTTACTTCTTTTCCTAAGCATTCCTGAAACAGTTACAGCCTCCAGATTTACTTGTCTTTTAATGAGGAAAAAAAAAAAAAATGACAGTACCAAACCTTTTATGAGAAGCTATTTCATATTGAAAGCGCTTCATAATCAAATTCAAGACTTGTGGATAAGATTTTAAAGTCTAAACTACTTTTTTTCTGTAACACTGCATTCTTTATCAGAATGTAAGAATCAGATTTTGTATATAATTAGCACAGGTCATGTAAAACATTCAGTTGTAATATTAATGCAAACCTAGAAAAAATTAAAAAGCCTACCTGCACGTTTCTCTTTCTTTTTTGAATACAACTCAAAAACAAAAATGAGAGTTATTAAAATAACAACTTCAGCCACTATTGCTAGAAATGGCTTGAGTGGCTCCGTGAATGACAGAATTTTAAGGTTCAGCTTTCCTTTACTCTTTCCTAGTTCAAAAGCAGCTTCACACCAGTATGCACCACCATCTTCTTTGGTGAGCTTCAGTATTTTCAGATGGGTTACATTGGCATCTGTTCTGTCTATTACGTACTTATCCAACATCAGGGAATCATTAATGGCAATCTGAAAACAAAAAATTAATTAGGTTTTATAACTGCAGTGAGAAATTGTTTAATCAAGTTATTTACATTATCAACAGTTAGAAATATTTCCACATAAAGACATAAAACAGTAAGAAGAGGCATCTAGACTGCCTACAAGTGAAGAATTTTCCTTCCTGGCGATGATCAGTTTCCTTAGCATTCAGTGCATGAAACTATGCACTATTAGGGTGCAAGTCACTTGACCCTCTTTAGCCAACTGAATATAAAAGCTACCTTTACCTCTACTAACAATCCTTTGGAGTCAGGATCTGATGCCCAGGTTCCACCACAGCACAAAGTATAAGCTTTCAAGGAAGCAGGGAATGCTTCTCTGGTGCAAAGCAAGCTGAGACAGCCAATGCTTGCCTCCAGTAGCATGGAGGAAACTGATTTGCCTTCTCTCGGCTCACAGTGCTTCCACCAGAAAAGGGCTGGTGAACAAAGTGGCTATACTGCTAAGGTTAGTGAGGATCCTGAAAGGTTGGAAAATGCTGATCTTGATTTTCAAAAAAAAGAGCTGAATTGAGAAGATATTTCAGCTCTTTCGGAAAACAGATACACAGCAGTCTCCACCACATGATGACTTCAGAGGTCATATTGACCTTCCTTCAAGCGTCCGCACTGGCTAGGAAACAAAAATATTTGTAAAGAGAACAATCAGAAACACAGGAGAAGGAGGAAAAAAAAAAAAAGAGGGGAAATGCTTTTGTTTTCCCTCAGGTCTCGAAAATCTTACATGTATAAAAATAAATAAATAAATAGACATCCTGCTATAGTAACATTCTTTGCCACCAGATAGTAAGATTTGAGAAATAGTCGCCACTAACATAGGTTCTGTATTTGTGGTGGTTTTTTTATTTATTTTTTATTTTTTTTAATTTATTTTTTAAAATTTATTTATTTTTATTATTATTGTTTTTTTTTTTAATAAATGTACTTCCAGACTTAAAAAATTTAATTGATTCTTTTATTTGGACTACAGGAATAAAGGAGGGACTTTCGGAATAATGTTGTTTGTCCATGCCAGAACATAAAGACTGCATCTTGTAATAATGAGTACTTCTAAATATTGAATAGGTGGGGTTTTTTTGTTCTGTCCCTGAGGGTATTCAAGACCAGGTTGGATGGGATCCTGGGAAAGCTGGTCTAGTACCAGACCTGTAGGTTGGTGGCCCTGCCTGCGGCAGAGGGGATAGGAACTTAATGATCCTTGATATCCCTTCCAAGGCATTCTGTGATTCTATGATTAACTTTTATGTAAATGCAGTTAGTAGAGTTTGAAGTGAGATGCCATTATACTTTAGAGCATGTCTGTACATTTTTGTCACATTGTTTTGCTGGGCTAGAGTGGAACCTTACCTGTTCACTGCCATTGGTCATATACCAGGTCCAAGCAATGGGAGTATAACTGCGACTTTTACAAATCAGTACAGCTGAGTCACCTTCATAACTGATGATAGGTTTTTCTCTTCCTTCAATTTGTGGTACTAAGAACAAGTAGGGAAAAATACATCACATGAAAGCCACATATTTATACTACAAAATAATAATATATAAGTATTGTATCTCTACATAAGGATTTCTAGTAGCCTACTTATTCTCTTTTCCTTTGTCATAAATGATACAACTATGCATGTTAGTCATGACCTAATGAAGAGTCATTTCAGGCTGATATTCTCTATATAGAATTTCCTGTAGAAAACTACAGGCACCCTGTTCTTAGTGGTTGTATCATCTTTGAAGTTGCTAACTGATATTGAAAACTTGGGTTATATCCTGTACTGATCTCTACCCTTGTTCATCTCCTCTTTCCCTCCTTGACAACTGTGAGCTACATGCTTCATTTCTTTCTGAAAAAGAAGTTTTCCTGCAGTTTCATTCGGTTTGCAAAAACTCAGTCATATTCTATTCCAGATGTAATGCTACCAAACAATGCCATCAAGCAAGTCCTGCACACAAGTAATGTTGTTTATTTATTTTATAATTAGGACATACTACAAACTTGATAGTTGTAAGTATGTTGTTAGCTGAAGAAACAGCTTTTGGATGCATGCTACTAAATAAATACTTCCGGTCCAAACTTGCTTAGAACACAGGCACAAGAAACAAAACATCAGATCACAACTCTAGGACTGTTTGACCCAGCTATGACATCTCCAAGTATCCAGCAGTCTTCCAAGAGCAGAGGCACAAGAAGAACTGTTTAATATAATAAGGCATTAAACAGAGATGGAGAAAATATTTCACAATAGGCTGTTTCCCCTACCCTCTCATCTGCCTCATTCTATGGATGCTTACCAGTATGCCTTTCTCAAATCTATCTATTTTAAGGTTTGTTTCTTAGGTTTTATTGTTCTCTTCAAAGCAGATGCAGTACATCTTTTAAATGGTTTTAGTCACAGAAAAATAAACAGGCCAACAATTTTTTTTTCAGCAGTTATAATATTCTATGTTCCTACCAAATTCTTCTTACTCCTTTTTCCCAGCTGAACTAATATTTCCATAAAGTTTACTTCTTGCGAATGTTCAAATTTATAAATTTCATTCCAAATTAATTTCCCAGATACTCTTAACAACAATACTATTCCCAAGTTCAGAGTTCAATGCACAATTCAGCAATCCAACCTCTCAGCAATACCAACCTCATCAGCAATAAAGTGCTCTTTCCATTTATATTTCTGTTTTAATCACGAAATACTGTATACTTCAAAAGAGTAGTGTCAGTATACTTCTACTTTACCACTAAGAGGTAGAATTTCACTAATATGTGCTACCACTTCCTCTCTAATTTATGCAAGAGGAAAAACTAAGAAATACAAAAAAAGACTGCACCCAGCACAACAGACATCCATGGTAGTCAAAAAGACTTCAGAGATGCTGTGTCAAAGCACAACTCTCGTAAAACATGGGACCACCTCAACATGTTTAAGGACAAGAATATCCATAATGCATTCTGGCATTTAGCTCTATAACAAAGTGGTTAATCCGTGAATGCATGCAAGGAACTGTACTTAGTACTCTCAGTTTGTTTGTTGTGTTTGGTTTTCTTCTCCTGTAGGCAAATCACCCAGAATCAGGGGACAAAATACTGCAGCTACAGACAAAAACAGCACACTGTTGGAGATGAACAGATGAGTGACCCTACTAGTATTCATACTGGATTTCCACAGCAGTTTAAAGAACAGCATTGTTTCACAGTGCACACCTCTGGACAGATATTTAAGCAAGCAGAAACCCTGAACAAAGTGCAAGCATAAACTAAGCACACCCTTCACTAATATAGCCATTATTACAACACCATGTGTTAGACTAAAATAGTCATGAAGAATCATCACCATGTTTAATAACTTCAGTTTCCTATAAAGCTACTCAAAATGTTATGGCTTCCTTGCAGACTTCCGTGGGAATTTAAATCTCAACTCTACAGAGTTATGCCAAGACAGGAGCACCGTGGCAAGCTACTAAAGTCAAAAGAGTAATGACTTCAGCCACTGCACCTACATCAACATATTACTCATCTCATGCAGTTTAAGAATTATTCCCACTACGTTGCTGACTGAAAGATTCAAGCATTTCTCTTTCCCATTTCCTTCACTCTTGCATTTATCTTAGTAACTGCTGAGCCAGTAACTTTATGGCATCAGAAGCGGCAGCACTGTGAAGTAATTTTCCCCATCTTCTTATGATAAATCAACCAGTCCTGTGCACTGTGCTCTGGAAAAGTTACTTTTCTGTTTGTTCATTCATTTGCTACCAAAAAACTTATTTCATACTTTCAAAAGAGTAAGACTCCCTCATCCTTTTTTAAAATCTAAACAGACTTGGTTAGCCATTCAACAAAAACAATGTAAGCACTATCAGACATGAATAGGTCTAAGTAAACTACAATTTTGTCCTCCCATGGCACTGCAAGCTAAGTTTACCCTAGTTAAAGTTCTGAAAGCAGATATTAAGACCACAACTCAAGATTTGCACTTGTAGAAATTTCTTGAAGTTGTTTGACCAGATGCCCCTCTGAACAAAGCCAGTTTGAAAACTACAAAGCCACGCTGGCTAGTTCAGCTAAGGTCAGAAGAGTTAGGGTTTTTATAGTTCTGTGTTGATAAAGAATCCTTCCTAGTACATATCAGACTGGAGAGCTTTCACTTAATCACATGCTTGCCACTGAAGTCAAGCCAACAAAGTAACTGGATATGCTAATGAGTCATGTCAAGCAAGCACTCCCTTAATTACAGCACTGGGTGCATGGGGGATAACTCCAGTGAAGATGCACACCAAGAGCAGTGACTACATATTTAAAGGTACACATATTCATTTCATTCCAAGGACACAGGCAGAAATCCCAAGAAATAATTAACATCTCTGGTGGTCACTGGATGAAGGCTAGTAGTCATTCCTGCTGCAAATTTCCAACCTTATAAGGTTCCCCATGTAACTGATGTTACATAGAGCTGAGGCATCTGTTTTGCCATTTTATCTTCAACAGCAGGACATATATTCTACTTTCTTATCTTGACAACAAGTTTGACAGACTCCACATTTCCTTCTTGAGCTTACATTTATGCAGGCCTCCCATCCTTCTGCTTCAGCAAACTTTGGAAAGCATGAAAAGTGGAGGAAATCCCACTTCAGCAACTTGTATTTGTTTCTTTTCCATGTTTTTCCATTCAACTAGATTTTACCTACTACTGCAAAGGGTGAAATCAGAGGAGAAAAAACTAAGTGCTCAGCTCCCCACCTAGTGCTCAAAGAAGCACTAACTGTTTACTGTTCTAACACACTCAGCATTTATTTTCTGTTTCAGAAAAACAACTGAACTTGTTTAAGAACCTGCCTCCTTTCTGCCAATCACTGCTACTCTTGTAACACAAAAGTCACAGGCCAAACTTTCTAGTCACTAGTTCACCAAAAACTAACAAAAAAACCTCAGTCCCCCTCCACAGTTTTTTCCACCTACCCACTCCCCCTTAAGAAACTGATGAACATTCACTTCTTCTGGATGGACAGGGAAGGAAGACAAAAATCAGTCACTCCTGTAGGGGGAGAGGGGCAGAAAAGTAGGCTTACATGGTTCAGGTTGTTGCAAGTTTTGTTATGAGGGCTTTTAGCTTTGCTTCAAAACTATCTCCCTCCATGCTACAAAAATTGCCTTTGATAGTGATTCTCACTTAGCTTGACAATATTAGCAACCACTTATCAAGTTAATATTGTTGCAATTTCCACGCTATTCAGGAGCTATTAACAAAGGATTTCATTGGTCAACTTGCCTTGTAAATGAAACACCACACTGAATTCTTCTTCACCTGTCACCACACAAGTGTAACTTCCCAGTTGTCCGTTTTCTGAGATAGTCAATCTTCACAAGGAAAAAGAAACACCATCTTGTTTGCATTTATTAGTGAGTACTAATTAATACCATGAAGAAGTCAGCAGAGAACATTCTTGAAAACAGTCAGATTCAGATTTAGTGCAGTGCACAAGCACTACAACATTTTAAGAAAACAGAAAAGCACATGAATATTTAGGAATGTGAACATCATTCTAACTCTTGTTGCTCACAGGTGCAAGTATCTTGAAGCAGTATTATCCATGAGCTACTGAATTAGACACGGCTTCACCATGTAGCCTATGCTGTATGAAATAACTTACACAGTTTTCTCTCTTAAAAGCCTGTTCGTCAATGGGTTAGTAATAACTCCAGCACAACGCAGTTCAAGAATTTGACAGCAGAGAGGATGCTGAACTTCTTGTTTTACAGGTTCTTTACATGGGTTGCATTTGTGTATATGGAGTAGCAGAAAAGTGATAGAATATTCATATTATTCAATCATTAACATTAGCCTGGGACTGCGTATATGTATGTGACAGGAAAACCTGCAAGCAGAACAGTAAAGACGACTACTTACTGGATGCCCCAGCTATTTTCAGTTTTATTGATGTGTTTGATAGTTTCATTTCCCCTCTTCCAAGTCACCTGAGGGTTTTTCATGTAAGAATATTTATCAGCCAGTCTGCATGACAGCTCAATTTTAACCGGACTGCCCAAAGTGATGTTTTTTTCCACGGGACCACCAGATTCACCTAACAGAAGTTGAAAAACAGTATTTATAAGAAAAAACACCTTATTTCTTCATTCTGTGAAAATAAAACCTATGCTGTATTGCAAGAGGATACAGTATGGCTTTGTTATACTTTCCAGTGTAAACAAAACTATAGTATCAGATATTGAGCTTTTGACAAAATTTAATTATTAATGAGTTGCTATATATAATGATTACAAACACAGTCACTCAATTCTATAAGTAGACTTCCTAGAGGAATCACACACAGAAACATTCATTTTGCCAACATCAAGACACACCTGTGCTTCTACACAGCTTAACCTGAAACAGAAATACATTTAATGCTTAATTCTCACAGAAAAATGGGATGGCAAGTGGGGAAACAATGCCTCCTCAGTCTAAATCTCCCTCTCAACTCCATAAAAGGTAATTTACAAATCAGAACTTAGTAACATCGGAAAGAATATTATTGGATTAAAATACTTTTATAAGTACTTTTGTAAGTACAAAGTTGCATTACTAATTTCAAAAAGAGCTAGACTTGTAAATATTTATAAGTATTTACAAATCAGCCAGTTACACATCTTCATGATACTGTGAAATCATAGGTAATGCCCTGCTAATAAAATCCACAACCTTATTGCTGGATCTGGCTTTTCATGCTTCAGCTATTTCACTTGAAACTGAATCATTTTCAAATCAATTTACGGTTCCATTCTACAACCTTGTGCTCCCCTCCTTGCCCCAGCTTCCTCTTTTGGGCCTGGTCATTACACAAGGCCTTGCTCAGGCATATAACAAGTACAATATTCATTATAATCAAGGTCTCACTAAGCAGTAAATGAGCACAGGACTGGTTATGTTCAAGGCCTCAGTAAGACAAGGAATTGACCACAAATCTGTCTCAAACTGAAGGCTGAAAGGACTGATAACTTATCTGGCATAACAGACGAGGGCCACCTGAGTGTGTGCCAAAAAAAACTATGCCTAAGTCATTAATCTTGCACCATGAATAGCAAGCAACCCAAGAGCTCCTTCAGCACTCCTGCACAACAGATCACTCCTGAAGCAGTAATGCCTCAAAGTTATGCCTGCTGTGAAGATCCCTCACATCTTTATGTCAAGGGATGCCTTGCCAACACAGATCCTCAGTAACTGAGTAAGTTTGTCTAAGCTCTGTCGACTTTGCCAAGATTGAGTCTTAGACTGACTGCACACATGATCCCTTAGACATAAGCTGTTTACCAAGTCTGGGACTGTAAGAGGATTCAGCCATACCTAGACTACTCTGAGGAAGAATTTAGGAAGCAAAGGGGTCTATCCTAAATTTTGTGACTCGATGGGAAAGTCTTCTGATCAAATGCGTTTAATCCTGCCCTCTATGCAGTAAAGAAAGGGTACCTTGACATCTGTAATTTTGTTAACTTGCTATCCTGTTTGTCAAAACACTCTGTGCCATCAATAATTAATATGCCCATGAAAATTCACTCAGAATCTTATCTCAATGCCAGGCTTACTCTGCAGAAGCTTAAAAAAAAAAAAAAAAGAAAAAAGAAAAAACTGTGTGTACTTGGGCTTCATAGCTTTAATCTTATCTGAGAGGAAAATAAATTTTAAGGTGTACCTCACTAACTTACTGTGATAACTTACCTAAAAAGAAGCAAAGCCCACTTGAAGCAGAGCTTGATACTCCCACGGAGTATTTAAACACCACTGAGTCTGGCAGGGGCATGTAAATGCTTAAAGAAGAACATAATGCCCAGAACTCTGAGTCCTGGCTGAAATACTACAGTTTTGTTGGCCTGGTGTTAGACTGAAAAGTGCAACACCCCATCTTACACAGCCGAGCCATAAGGATCATAGTTCATTTACTAAATCCATATATTAAACTCAATAACCAAACTAAGCATAACTCACCTTACATGTTTATGATCACAGTAATTTGAAAATTGAGTTAGTTTTATAATAGTGAAAGTTTTAGAATTAGATTAATCACAGTGGTTTAAAATAGAATGCAAGTTTGAGATTAACTGTCCAAAAAGAAATCCACACTTATAATGAATGGAACATGAAAACCTTATGTTGTTGAAGTTTAGCCATTAGGAAGGCTGATATGTAGGAGGAGATCTCTGCACTAAGAGCACTTGTATTGGAGCAAGAAACAGAGACTACCTCATTAAGTATCTCACTTTAAATTAGAAGAAAACAATGCCAGAAGAACAGTGTAAGTGCTATGCAATTGTGTCCTTAAAGATTAAGATTAGTATTTTGCAAAGGAGTTCCAATTGATCTCTTCAAATTCTAAGTAAATTAAATTTCAATTAAAATGTTTTGGTTTTTTTTTTTCTGTTTCTACTAGAAATTGGTTTTAACTTCACATCTGTCAACTGGGAAACCTCATGTCTATCTCAAGGAAGTGGCTTGTCTCTTCTCCTTGGTCTAAAAGCTGCAATGACTGGCTAGCACCAGTCAGGTAAGAAGCATCACACCTTACACTGTCTCTCCAAACAGATTCACCAAAGCAAAGCAATTGTTACTTGAATTGACTTGTGGGAAGAATAGAGAGCTATGAATTGTTTCACTAATGTTTTTATTAAAATACTATAAGTCTTGTTCTCCACTGCAAAATAGTAGAAAACAGTAAATGCAGCAAATTCACTCATCTTTTCTTTAACTGAAATCACTGTTCATTCTAAACTACTGACTTTATCAATAAGTTGCCATCCTAAACACTTCTAAAATTCATAGGAAATGCTACATGAAATTAAGATATTTTCAATGTAACATAACTGGAAGAGAAAATAACATACTCACCAGGAAGGAGCACCTCATACTCCACGTAAAGGGGCTTAGACTTGTTCGAACTGATTTCCACATCAAAACCCACCATGGTGAGATCTGGACCTAAGAAGGTCATGGAGGCAGTGATATGTTATAAAGCTATAAATGCAATCATGAAGCAATACAGTACTGCAATCATTTCTTACAGTAATCCTCTAGAGAAAAAAATAAGAGTAAAACAAAACAAAAACCTTGCCAAAGCTACTCCCATAGAGATCACTTTTTTTGCAACCACAGTCTTGAGGTAGCAGTGTTATGTGGCCAACACTACAGTAATTACGCCAGTTTAGAATATGGTTTCTAACTATAACACAATGCTGTAATTCTAAATTTCAGAATACTCCAGAAATCCCTAACTGTCTATTTCACAACCTGTTTCAGAGCCTTTTATATGCATAATTCTCCTAAAGCTTAGGAATGAGTCCTGAACCTGCATGGGGGTACAACAACATTAAACTGGGCTTGGAAAAGTAATAAGCTTCAGAAAAACAGAAAGAGATAATGACAGAAAGAACATGGTTATTTCTCAAATGTCTACAATTCAACATTTTAACAGCAATAAAGCCAGACACAGACCATCTACTTCAGATGCTAGTCCGCTAGAATCCAAAGACACGAATGCCATGGGCTCCAGTAGAACATAGTTCAAGTTCCACACTGTTCCACCAAATGCCTGATATACTTGAGGGAATTTCCTTCCCTACATAAAACAGGTATCAATATGTACTATCATCTATCTGATCTATCTCATCTCTTCTTTATGGAAGAGAAAGTGATATTTAAAAGGGATAAGATGACCAAAAAAAAAATCCCTGTTTTGTTGTAGTACAGACAGAATATTGTTCAGAGACAATCTTCATAAATTTCTGCATAGTTTAATACAGTTGATACTATCTGGTAGGCAGTTGCAGGAAGAGCCTCTGTTTATGCTTACCGCTGTACATTTCAAGAACAGAGAAATTAAGACAATTAATAAAGCTGTAGCTTTAACAACAGATGCCAATGAGATAAGGAGATATCACCCTTCCAAAGCCATACAAATATGTTTTGTTGTTATCTGCATACAATTTCCTAGCAAACTCATGCACAGTGAAAATGTACAAGAAATTATACTTGGAAAAAAGGCCAATTCAATATAATTACAGCATTTTTTTTTTCTCTCCAATTTCCAGTTCCTTTCCATACAGCTTTAAACAGAACTTAAACACTGTCGATTTCATCAAATGCTTTGTCTTGGTAATTGCCACTAATATAAATTCTCTGTAACATCTTGTTAAGTTAAAACAAAGACAATGACCAAAAGCACACACACACAGAAGAACTTAACACTTTATGTATAAGAAGACATTTGATTGCTTTTACCAGGTGTAGATACATCACGTGCACGTGTCAAGTGATCTGCAATGCTGCCCCAGGTTGTTTGACTGACAGTCTCTGTAGTTGTTATGGGCTCTAAAAGGTTTAAAAACAAGGCTGTTACAAATGAAGTTGATTTTTTTCCAATAATTTGAAACTGAAAAAAAATCTTTCTTCCACTGCAAACATGTTTTAAGTCATGTCTTTTACATACTTGCAAAGCAGTTCTATTATCAATTATTTTATAATTAATCTTAAGTTATAGGATCAGTAAGTACAGACTTAATCCACCTGATCATATAAAACTGCAGGAGAAAGTGATTCCAGTTTCTGAAGAAGGAAAGAGACTGCATCATTTATCCTACAGATGGATCTCCTACAGATGGAGTAGGTCCCAAAGTTTTCCTGTTTGGAGCCAAGAGGAGAAAACTGCTACAGCTTCAGCCTTCTTTAAGCACTGGGTGGCAGAGTTGACCACTACGCAGTGGAAATCTCATTTCTAAAAGCCTAAACATTTTCAAATTATTCCTCCTTTTCTTTTACTGCACTAAAAAAAAAAAAAAAAAAAAAAAAGCCTCTCAGCTACACTTACTGCCAGAATCTGGTTCAGATGAAAGAAGTCCCTGCTACTGGTTTGCATCTTATGATATCTCAGAGCAAGTGTTAGTAGAGGTACCACATGCCTTCAAACTGCTTGCCCATTCTGCAAAGCAAGATTCTGTTTTGTCATTTTTTGGGTCAACATGTCAGTTCACAACATGAGGAATGCTATGCTACAGGCAATCAGTCTTATGCTTGGCTTGTGCCATCTGCTTTTTCATACTTTCCTTCACGCTTCAACCAGTTTAGAGAAAAAATAAACAGGTATATTTTTTCCACCTGGATGAGGTGGAAGAACTTCAGGCTGGTTCATTTAGAAGCTGTTGTTACTAGAGTGTTATTGCCACTCCTGACTACTATTTCTACTATTTTACTACTAATTAACTTTTTTAAAGCTATAAAATTGTTAAACTGTCTTCCAGCAGTAGTCAGAGTCCTGCTCTTCTACATAAGCGTGCAAGCAAGCCTCAATATCTGCCTTACTTGCAGACAAACAAGTCTAAATGCTTATGCCTGACAAAATATGAAGACTAAAGGTCTGGGAAATGTTCTTTTGTTTGCGCATGCAAACGTTTCAACAGCACGCCAAGGTTGTTACGGATCACCTGAGTTTTTGTCAGCCCACTATAAGCACCACCTGATTACTGAAATCCTTCAAGGGGACAGATGCCTTCATAAGGCATCAGTTTGTATGATGGTTGTTCTGTATCTCCAAAACAAACAAACCAAAACCACTAAACCACCTACATATGGAAAGTTACTGAATCCAGTATTCACTACTTGCACTTACTGTATTTCTGTCGCATTTTGCTTAAAAGCTCTAAAGTTGAACATCAGAAAGTTAGCATTATCATCTTCAAAGACAGAATAGTGGTTAAAATAACCTGTCCTAACCACAAGTTCATGTATAAACACAACCTAGCCCAAATCTGATTTGTGTTAATCAGCCTCAGCTTTGGTGCACTGCTGAGCTCCTGGTGCTCTGATCTTTATGGAGAAACGAGAGGCGGCAATCAATTATCCATTTCTTCTCCATTCTGCAACATACCCTCCACTTCCCATCACAATTAGGGACCTAAATATACAGCAGGTGAAGAGTGGGGACAACAGAATGATGGTACATATCATATCACATATCTAACTAAAAAAAAAAAAGAATACATAGATAAAGGTAAGATGATGCAAGGACGAGATTACAAATCTTACTAACACAAGAACAAAAAGCAGAGTATTCACATGAAAGTTATCAGTTGTCTGCTAGAAAAGAACCTTCTATGATGCTTCTAGTTTGGGAATTGTTCGTTCTCTAGGGAAGGTGCCTGATCTGATCTCATACATCTTACAGGATAGCTTTTTCCACTGTCCTTGAGATGCTTAGGATACAAACTTTTGCACTGACTTAAAAATGCCAACATAATACATTTGCTTCTTTTTCTTCTGAACAAAATCCACCAGCTTATTACAGAAGTGTACACTACATAGTAATTTAAAATCAATAGGGAAAGAGTATTATAGTTGTAGGTGTACTAAAATAAAATAGTTACCAGCAGATGTCTTCAGTCCAGTGTGCATCTGAGTCAAAGCATTCCCTTGAGTATGATTGGCATCCAAAGTCGTCACCAACAGACCTACATAGGGTTTAAAGAACATTTATTCTCTCAGATCTGAATTTAGTTAATGAAAACAGATAGAGCCTACTCCCCTCAGTCTACCATCATTTTTTCTTGATTTTTGAGAAAAAGCAGCCAACATAGTAAAAGCTTATTTTTCACTAGTTGCAGTTAGCTTATTTTAGACAAGAGAATTCAAACAGAGGCAGTATTTTTTACCCGACTTCTCTAAAAACGCAAATGAGAATTTTGTTTGTATCTTTTCTTGTAGATAGTCAGACTACACTTCAGAATATTTCAGCAGAACAGTATGTTTTATACCTTATACTCAAATCCCATCTTACCTGTGAGCTTGGACCATTTCAGATGGTAACACTGATACTAGTTGATTATTTTACAACCGACTGGCAGATTCAGTGACACGATAACAAACCTGTAAGAACCTTCTGTAGCTCCTCTCTGTTATGTGGCAGATTTCTATCCATTATAATTTTCATGAGCAAAACAAAAGCTATTTGTATTGCTCAATTCAGCCTTCACCAAATACTTCTAATCAGTATTTCCAGTTTCCTTACCTTGTGCCTGATTTGACTCTTTGAATCTTAACTTTTTTTTTTTTTTCCTCTCCTTTAAAGAGCCAGCCAAAATACCAATATTTTGCTTTGCCTTCCTGGCTGAGAAGAAAGAACAGCAGGGGCAGAAGGAGATAAACTGTTTAGCTGGAGCACTCTGCTGTATCACTTCTGATGAGAACTCAAGGTCCCCAGATGATTTACTAAAACAGATGCTTGCCGCTTCCTTTCCATTCCCACAGTTGGATAGCACAGCTTAAAATAAACACTATCTTAACATAATTTTGGTATTCCAGGACATAGTCTACAGCCACAGCAGCAGGATATGCTCCTCTTTGAGCAACATCACCTCAGTGCCTTCTAATTGATTTGGCCAGCAGTCACAAAGCTGTGTATGCAGCCAGAGAAAAAAAGGCACATATGCTGTGTTTGCAGCTGTAAGCAAATAAAGGACAGTGTAATAAGCACTGCTAGACCTTCAAAACAGAAGCAAGCACAGAGTGAAAAGTGGAAATCTAAATCACAGTTTGATTGCGTTCAGATCTGCTGAGAACCACGTGCCTTCAAGCATACTGTTAATTCCAACCACTGAACACCACCAACACGCCCATCAGTCTCACTACTGTAAGCACAGACTACCTGCATATTGTCTTGTGGGCACCTCAGCACAGTTTCTGCAGACTGCATCAGAAACATGCCTGGCTTGCACCATCTGCTCTCAATCTATCCACCACACTTTAAACAGTTTGAGTATAGCAAGTTAGTCAAAGAGTATAAATAAATAAATCAATCTGCCACTGGAGTGGTTCTTCATAACTGGCATTCTCATTTCTCACAGTTAATTAGTGCACCAGTCCCACTGCTCTTCACCTAACACAAGGAATTTAAGAAATACAGGAATCCATTCAATCTGAGTACATGCTGGCTTATGACCCAGATGATAAGAAGACCAAATCTTATCCTCTGCTTAATCCAGGTCCTCCGAGCAGGGAAGACTATTATGCTCCTGATATTAAGGCTAAAATTGAGGAAAGGTCCACAAATTTTCTATCTGTGCATCATCTTTAGGAATTCTGAAGGTGTCATGGATCACCTGATCCTGTGTCAGCTTATTAGATGCATTATCTGCATAGTAATTAAAATCCCTGAAGATGATAAATTTAAAAGGCACCAGGCTGTACAGCAGCTCTTATCCCTCTGCAAGGAAGCCAGATAACCTGCAACATGTTTTGCGTACTATTAGGCTTCTCATCGTGGCCTTTCTCTTTGATTCACAAACCAAATGAGAGCAGGTGACTAGCATTATTTCTCATCGACACTGCTTCTGTCTTTTGGTTCTTACCTCCTCACAAACAGAACTACATGACACAGAGGTAACGTAGGTAACGTAGCACATCTTGTCCTGTCACAAACATACTGCTATACAGCTTATGCTATTAAGCTGACCTACTGCTGTATGATGAGTATGATAAAGATAGATAGTGATATAAGTATATACAGGGGAATAACTTCTCACACTACAGAGTAAGCTGAAATTTCTTAGCCTATAATTAAATTCCATTAGCAATGATAAGGATTGGTGTCTTCTGCTTGCCCTGATCTTTACTGAAAATGGAGTAGATGAGAGTATGAGGTCACTGATTTATTTTTTTCTATCTTCCCTCTACTTCTTAGTGTAGCCAACAATATCTGAGAGATAAAGTGGAGTTACACTATGACTGTAATCACTGGAGCGATTTCTGGCATTTTCACCTCTATGAATCACATTGAATCCTGCAAACACATCTGGCACACTGCAAGGTCTTCATAAAAACATAGTGAAAAATAGAGAAAGACTGAGATGAAATTTGGTTTAATTTAGCAGAATAAGTTTAATATTTTTTGTCAGTTAATTTTGCTCTGTGGAGGTACACAAGCATCCACCAGCTACTAAGACAGACAGCCTCGTGGTGCCTGGAAGGCAAAAGCTGCAGCATAAGTTTTCTCACAAGACACCAGAGGATCCAAACAAAGGGCTTCCAATGCCTCAACAGAAGTTCTTCACAGCAAAGCAGAGAAATCCAGCAAGGAAGCCCAAAAAAACAGGTGTATCCTCTGTTTGTGAAGCTGCTTGCCATCCATAAGGTGAGAAGACAGCAGACAAGATGTGGTGGATTTGCTTTTTCTAAAGCAATCTGGCAGCACACAGTGCAACTAAACCAGGCAAATGAAACAGTACACTTATAAGAACTTTATGTCTTGACAATAGAATAGTCAGAAATAACTCCAAACCCAATGCAGAACAGAAGTGATGGTTTAAATTTTTCAAAGCAATTAAACAGTTAATAAGACTAAAAGACAGAAGGAACAGAATGGTAAGAACTCAAGTTCCTTAACTCAAAGTAATATATGGGAAGCCAGCGGCAGAGGGATACCTAACTCGACTTTCTTCAGCTCAGCCCTGAGCACAAAGCACTTCCTGCAGCTGCTTCTACTGAAAACATCTGTTTAGAAGGAAGCCTGCTGAACCTGCACATCTCCAGAGTATGCTGTTACTGAGCTTCACAAGAAGTCAGTGCCACTGCACCTGCCTCAAAAGTTGCAAGAACTTCCCTTGGGAGCGCTTGCGTGCCTTTGCAAATTACTCATCAACAAGAGAGTAATAATAGATTATTTCCCTGGATTTAAGACACCATGGAAATCGCAGTATGAAGCCCCTCTTCTTACTGAACCTTTTTTATACCAACATGAAAGCATTTAGTAGAAGTCTGAAAAGCAAATGCCTTGTTTTATTCGTATAGATGGTACTGAAGCTGCTGATTCATTTCTGCTTATCTTCCAAAAAAACAGGTATCATACCCACCATTTTATAAAGACAGTACATTTAAAGAAATCGCTTCCCCGGCAGGGACTTCAATTTATTTTTTTATTTTTTATTTTTTTGGAGGCACAGAATCTCACTTCGTTAATTATGTCACATAAATTCAGAATTGCTTCAATCACCGTTAGGTAAAAGCTATGGTGGTAATCCAATAAAAAAAAAAAACAAGCATCACCTGCCCCCGATCCAGCTCAGAGGTTCCTACATCCATCATGGCATTCATAGTCACGTAACTTTTTCCATCACGGAAATACTGTCAAAAAGGTTTTCCGATGTATTCATGTGTATATAAATGAACATTGTGCACAAGTTTTAAGAACTACACGACACTTTTTTTTTGCCCTTTCACATCTTCCTGTGAAAATACCACACATGTTAAGGAGGCTGTCACCACGGGGCAAGCACTACTGCTCCTCCCAGCGCCCGACAGGAGCACCGAGACGCCCGTAACGACTCGCAGCCCGCCGTGCAGCACGAACATCAGCAGCGCTCACAGCACGCGGAGCTGCCACCTTGCCCACAGCAACGCCTCGCCAACGAGCGCCGGCGGTTCGGCTCTAACGTCCCACCGCGCCGCACCGCCCAGCCGCGATTCCACCAACAGCGACCAATAACAAAACCATTAACAGAAGCGTATTTCTTCAGACGTGGCTCACTCCTGAGCTACAAGGAACGCATCCCAGAGTGGCTTTTTTTTTTTTTTTTCTTTTTTTTAGTATTTCAGACGTGACGTTTAAAAACGCGGTAGAAAAATCCTCCAAGAAACATCCTTCCAACCCTCCCCATTATATGTTAATAAATTTGCTATAATTAAAACCCACAGGGACACGCTTTTTTCCAGGCCCTCAGTGACACGTTATTCGGTACAAACACGGCAGCAGCGCAGCTCCCGGCCCTGCACTCGCGCACCGATGAAGCCGTTCCCTCCGCGGGGCAGCAGCGGCCGGGCCGGGCCAGGGCCGAACCGGCAGCACGGCGCATAGCGGCTGAGATGCCAGCGATGCCGGGGGCGCGGCAGCAGGGCGCGGCGGCCAGCCTCGACGCCCAGAGGGGATGAGGGAGAGCGCTGCCCCGCCGCCAAGCCGGCGCCTCTCCCGGGCCGCAGGAAGGCTCCCCCGCGGCACCTGAAGGATGGACGCCTCGGCGTCCCCAGGCCCGCGCCGCAGCCCCGGAGCGACACTCACCTGCGAGGCCGCCGCCCGGGAGGCAGAGCAGCAGCAGCAGCCACCCCGGGTGCCCGCGATAGAAGCCGGCCGGCATGCCGCCCCACTGCTGGCCTCCCGCCGCCGAACTCGCTCCGCACCGCGCCCCGGGGCCGCCCCGCCGCGCCCGGCGGCGTGCAGGCAGCCAGCAGGCGGCCGACCCGGGCCCCGCAGAGGGCCGCGGCGGCTGCGAAAGGACGACGGCTGCCGTGGTTGCGAGAGGGGACGACGTAAAATGGGGGGGAAAAAAAAAAAAAAAAAAAACCCGCGAGCTGAAATGTCAGGCTGCGGCTGCGACCCACGCCGGGCGAAGAGGACAAGCAAACAGCGGGGCCCCGCACCGGCTTTATGGGCGGGAGGGCGTAGGTGGGAGCGGTAGGCAGCCGGGGGCTCCTCCCGCCTCGGCCGGGCTGAGGGCGGTTATCTTCGCGGCCTGAAGGTGCCGCTGCCGCGGGCCGCCCCCGCCGGAGGAAACCACGGCGGGACCGTTGGGACGGCTCCCGAGGAGAGGAGCGCGGCCTCCTCTGCCCTTTGCCTGCTGACCTCCTGCACGGCCCTCCTTTGAGGGTCAGTGGCTTGCAGGCAGCTGGGTTATTCTGTATGAGAGGAAGGACTGTGTAGGGCTCCCTGCTGAATGTCCAAAGCCGAGCTACACTGCTGGAAGAGAGTTGTTTCCAACAAGTGTTTCCAAGGCTTGGCTGCCACAATCTGGAGTCCTTAATTGCTTAGGTGCTTAAGTACTTAAGTGCCTGTACAGTACTACACGTAAATTAAGGCACTTATGCATATATACATGGTTGTTACTTTAAAAAAAATAAATAAATCAGTTTGGGTTTTGCAGTGTAGAATCTGACCAGGTGGCATTCTTTGAAGGAGAATCCTCAGGGTGGGGGATGTGCTGCATTCTTACTATCAAGACACAGTTCTTGCAGCTGATGGAGAACTTGAATTCTGCCAAAGATTTGTATCAGCAGTGCAGAAAAGGTCGCTGCAGTGAAGCTGGTACATCAGCATAGCTCTCCCATGCTGGTGGAGCTGCAGAAGTTCATGCCGAGCATGTGCAAGTCAGATGTCCCACATGCTGATTTTCCAGTATTACATCTGAATTTATACATATCTGCTGCCATCCGTGTCCCTTAACACTGTTACAGTCCTTCATATTAAATCTTTCCATCGTAAAACCCTTAAGAAATAAATCTAATCGCAAAGGACCAGGAACAGATTTTTTTTTTTCCTTGAACCCATTTTACATGTCAGGAAAGGCTAGGGATTCCTGCTGGCTGTACAGGGCCACATGCAGGTAGGAGCCTTTTCTGATACTGAGAGCATGAATGTCCTCCATACGTACACTTGGGGCATTGGGATGGAATCTTCAGTGTTCTGTATCTAATGTTGTTTTGTCCATGTACAAAAAATTGTTTTGTTCATGTACAAAAATAAAAAAATAAAAAAAATTAGGGAGCTGTGTATGTGTGTATACATGTATATATACATATACTGCACAGTAAATACCTGTATAGTCAAAAACAGTCAACTGTTTTTGAAACATGGCTACAACCCACAGTTCTCTTGAGCCATTTGACAGACAGAATCCTCTGAGGCTGAACCCACAGATTTGTAAGTCGGCTTTGACAGCATGGAATGATAGGATTCAGAGAGAATACAGCTCAGATAAGGCTGGTCAGGAATGGCAAAGTTATTCAACTTTTGATGGGAAAAAGTGTCTGGAACTTGAAAGCACTTTAATTTAGACTACTTAGGACTGAAGAAACTTGCTTCTTTGATGAAAAAAAAAAAGAAAAAAAAAAAAGGCAATGCCTACTGTCTGAAGATATGAAGGAGTTCCAAACTGCTCTTCCTGAAAAGTCTGGAAGTACTTTTCTATGTAGCATCCTGCGTAGGATGTGCAGCATCCTTGCTGTAGGAGAGAGAAAAAAAACCTGATGTTCATTAGGCTTCCCAGGGAGGTGGTTGAGTCACTGTTCCTGGATGCATTTAAAATCTATTTGAATGTGGAACATGATTTAGCAGAGGACTGTTGATTAGGGTAGTATGGTTATGTTGTGGTTGGGCTTGATAATCTTTAAGGACTTTTCCAACCTGAGTGATTCTATGATTCTGTGATTCTGTGTTTGGCTGATCCAGCCATTAGGTGTGCAGCACCTTTTGGTGAGATAGATTTTATCCACCTGAAAATGCTGTGGCCGCGTTAATGTTGGACAAGTCTATGTAGAAGCCTATGGCTGGCATAAATGGAGTTGCTGGGACAGTCTGACCTGGGATCTAGCTGTAGCCTTTTCAGGTTTTGCCCAGTGGAAACTAGAAATTCTGGTAGATCATTTGAGTCCTGGTTAGGACTTTCCTAGTAAGTTATCTTGGATAGAACATTAAAGCAATCTGAGCATGCTGAATGTCTTTGCAGGATTCCTTCTCAACTGCTTGTCATGACTTGTTTGCCAGTAGTACCTCCCACTCTTATCTTACCTGCTACACGAGAAGAAAAAAAACAATTATTAGACTACTCCTGAGTGAGCTGTTGTTTTCTGACTCTCACATTATGAGATAAAGAAGCCACAAAGCAACGGAAGGCAAAAACAGGAAGCAAAATTTAGAGGAACTGATAAAGCAAAAAATGTAACAGCACTATAGGCATTTCACTTCTCTAAAGTTTGTGTTACCATAATGCGCTGATACTTGAGGATTCCCCAAATACTGATACTGGATTCATCAGCACCAGTGAAAGCATTGGGATAAGAGAATTTAGATATGATAAGGTCAGTGATTGCAAATTGTGATTGCAAACTGTGAGAAAACTAAACATTGAAGGCATTAAAAAAGATGAACTCTTATTATGTCTTAGGTGTTTTGAAACATTGATAGGTGAGTAATTAGGAATTTCAGGAAAAAATCTGTTCAAACTTTTAAGTAATAAGACTAATCTACTCCATCCATAGACATGCAGAGTATTTTCTTTTTTCTCTAGCTCATTCTTTTCTCTCCCTTCTAAAAAGGGAGACTTTTTCTCTACATGGTAATATGAGCTGCATCGGAACAAGGATTCACAGGTTGAACTACACTCTGGATTACAGTTAAACATTTATATTGATAAAGCCTCTGTTAGAGGGAAAACTACTGATTTATTCATATGGACATTCTTTGCTAAAAGTTTCATGGCAGGAGGGAAGTAGATGGAGAAAATTGCTGTGACATTTTAGATGTTGGCTGAAGAAAAGTTCAGATTATAATTTATTGTAGCTGTTACAACACCTTCTGTATTACAACCACTTGCATATTCTTAAAGCCTAGTCATCAGTGTTCATTTAATCTGTTAATTGCTAAAGCAATAAAATAACCAACAGATATGAGTGATCCACCTCTTTCCTTGGATGAAAGCATGCTTTGTAAAATCAACACTGTGAAAGGAAAATAATGCATGTGTTCAAGAAGAACAGGAAAAAGGAAGAAACAATCAAAAGTGAGTGCAAACCTCTTGGGGTGGAAGTTACAACTTGTTTCAGGGATGGTGGCTTGTTGCTTTCTGTAGCCAAAGCTAAATCATCAGGACTTAGCTAGATTTTTCTTTTAAGGAGCTTAAAAGGAGAGGCAACCTTTGTTTAAAGATAGGACCTTCTTAGAGTGGAAAAGCATTAAGGTAAACACTGGAAAAAAGAAGAATTAATTTAATTAAGGCCGAGAAGTAAATTTGCAAGGCCAGGAACCATGTGTTACTAATCTGCATAGCACTAACAGAACAGTTTGCAAGCGTAGCTGCTGTGCTATGTCTAGATGGGATAAACTGAAAGGGCAGAACTCCTGTGTTTCTGAAAGCCAAAGCAATGTATTGAATGCTAGTGCAAGACTATAAAACTGAATTTTATTGTCTTCCCCAAACATTTATCTTTGGTACACTGCATCCAAAGGATTTAACTGAACTGACCTCTTGGCTGGATTTAAAATTACAGGCTGATTATGCAATTGCCTACTCTGCAATGTCTATATACTCTTGAATGGTTGTGAGTCCTGTCACCTCCTAGCAGGCAATTTGCAAGAGTCAGTATATAATCTGAGCTGAGAATTCCGCTCTTTATGGAGTGCTTTAATGTTGCTTGCTGGGATTTGGATCTGTAGATAAAACAGAAGTTTTGGTTGTTCTTAAATTTTAGTTTCCCTTCAGTATTGATTACTGGCTATGCTGAGCATACAGTGATACCATTTGTTAGTGTGCTGGTATTAATTTTGTGTAGGGGTGCAGATGAGGCAGTATGGTTCAGGAACACCTTTGTATACAAGGTACTTTAATCAGCAACTGGCAACTAGGATGTCAGCCAAGTAGATTTTTGGCTAATATTTATTTTGCCTCACCCCCGCCCCCAAGCCAGAACAAAATAGTTGTTTTTAATAAAAGCTATAATGGGAAAAGAGTACCTGGTTTAAAACACAAGCACAACTTAATTTGAAATCTTCTGTAGGGACATCTGAAGTGTTTTGTACAGTTTGTTGAAGTGCAAATAAAACTCCCTGAGGTATATGCCACCAGTATAAGCTATCTTGTCGTGGCATAACCCAGCAGGCAGCTCAGTACCCCACACTAGTTCACTCACCTCTGTCGCTCATCCTGTAATAGAATGTTGGAGAGAACTGAAAAGTACAGAAACTTGAGATAAGGACAATCTAATAAGAAACAAACAAACAAACAAACAAACAAGAAAGAAAAAAAAAACAGCAAAGAATGAATAGAATTAGTGGTGCACAATGCACCTGCTGACTGATGCCCAGCCAGTCTCTGAGCAATGCAGCCCCCAGATAACTCCCCCGGCTTTTATTGTTCAGCATGATGCCATGTGGCATGAGAAATCCCTTGGTCCAGTTTGAGTCAGCTGTTCTGGTTCTGTCCTCTGCCATCTCCTTGTGCACCCCAGCCCCATGCTGCCAGGGCCATGTGAGAAGCTTAAATGTCCTTGGCTCTTTGTAAGCACCACTCAACAACAGCTAACACACTGGGTGTGATTAACAGCGTTCTCATTCTAAATCCCAAACATGGCACTGTACCAACTACTAAGAAGAAAGTTGAATCTATCCCAGCTGAAAGCAGTATCGCAGAGTTTATTTTGTAGGCTTTTGCTTCAAAATGTGCAGAAAATATTTTAAATGTTTCAAGCAAGACCAGGTTTTGAGGGAGGTAATACCTTTCATTACATTAATGTAGCTGG